AGTACTTGGAGATACTTAATACCAATTTAGAAGTTCTACACCTAATGCAATATTCATGTCCCTCCCTTCTCCACAATAAGTAGTTTTGTGGTGGGGTGGGAGAAGAACCTGCAGTGAGGATCAAGTGGCCTTCAGGTAGTTTGGAAATAGGTAGCACATGGAAATATAACGAAGAAGATAGTTTTACAATGAGGAAAACCAGCTACTCCATATGAAATATGAAAAAATGTTAGTGCTACAAGTTCTGCAGTCCTTCCTCCAGACCCTCTGAGCAGCTGTTCAGATAATAGGAAATTCAAATCCAGAGGGCTATTTTTGATTCGTTGATTTATGTTTTCAGCAGGTTGCTAGAAAAGTTGGGAGGAAATCCATTTTTGTGTATCCTGCAAGAAGCATACTGTATAGCCTCTGATCCACAGCAAGGGTCTGTTCCCAAGTTTGGAAGCTATGCAGAATCTTTTTGAAGCTACAATATTGATCCCTGAAGCATAGTCTTGGGGGATTAACACATGGTGAACTCGGTGCTGTTTTCACCACAGGATATGATATGTCTAGCTGGAAGATCTTTGCAAGAACATTACAATAAAACACAGTTGGAAAGTCACTTTAAAAGTCCCTTGAAATGCTCTTAATGTCTTTGCTTTACCTGCTTCAGAACTTTAGAATGGCAGTTGTCCTAATTAATGATAGCTTCAGCCAGAGTCTTTTTAGACCACTTTTGAAACCTTTGCATAGACAATTTTATTGCTGACACCTAATAACATCTGTAGTTATTAAGATGGCAAATCTGTTTCCAGTTATACTCACTGATTACTTTCTGAAGCATCCATCCTTTTGTCCCACATTTTTCTTGGCCAGATCTCTTCCCAATAGTGCTATTTCCACACAAGTCACTTTCCAACCATCTTTGAATTATGGAAATTGTAAGGTCAGAGATTCTCTTCATCTGTGCTGTATTCTAAGCCTGTTCCAGGCAATAGCCATGTAAATAATTAATAATACTATTGGGTGAGAGACTTTTCCAGTCATAAAAAATGAACAAAAAATCAACTCCGTTTTGTTAGAGTAAAAATTAATTGAAGTTGAAATGTTGCAGAGATAAGGTCCTCACTGGGCATTTAGGGGGTCAGAGTTGTCACGACTGACATGAGAAAGTTTTGCAGGATTGGGATCCTTTTTCTGAGTCACAGCTTGGGAAACCCAGGCCTCAACCCCTGATGGGACTGGACTGGAGAATGATACAGAAGACTGGAGAATATGTACAGAGGAATATGTCACCCACATTTTTCCAGTCTGAACTTGGAGCTAGCCAGCCCTGGCTAGAGACATAATAAGGTTAGTGTACTAACATAGGTGGGTGGGGGGAATTAAAAATGAAGAATAAAAGTATAAGAAGTTCAGGAAAGTAACTTCTGAGCACGCTCAGTGGAAAATTTCAGAAGTTTGGAATATGGTTCTGTTGTACTGGAAGGAATATTTGCTGTCTCCCTGTGACCTAAATGTGCCCAGTTAACAAGTAAACTTCTCTTTATCTAATTCCCAGTCCAGCACACTCAACCATGGCCTCAAACCCAAGATGGTTCTTTTCTTCTTGTGCCTCATTACCAGTCACAAAGATTGCAGGCCAACTTAAATCATCAGTTACAGCTGTACAATCTGGTTTATGCTTCTGTAAGACTGCACAAGAGTGACAGGCTGGAAGTTAGTACATCGTTCTACTGATGAATGACCACATCATCTACCTGTCTCTGTTTTGGCGGTGCCCTGCCGGTGGGGTATAAGCAAAAAATAGAAACGTCAGTGTAGTTGCATCTGCTGCCTTTCTGACTCATCCTGCACCCTAGATGCCGAGCTGTAGAGTAAGAAGGCACCATTTTTACATTGTCAGTTTTCAGAATGGAACCATGCTCTAATGAAAGTCATTCCCCATTGCTCTGTTGGCCATCTTCTCAGCCTGACCACAGGTGTTAAAGCACAGACAGAGGCTGCTGCTGGGAATATTTACATAAGGTGAGGGATACTGTAAATGTTTCCTTGAAATATACACTCAGTAGAAATCCTCATGAAGAAAGCTTTGCTATCTAGGAGGCTATGTCTACACTGCAAGGTTTTTGTGCAAAAATAGCCGTTTTTGCGCAAAAACGTATGGAACGTCCACACCTCAAATGTGCTTTTGCACAAGTAAATCACAGTAAAACAGCAGAAGAGAGGACTTTTGCTGGTGTAGGTAAACCTTATATGAGGCATAACTCCCTTTTGCACTACAGCTACTGCGTAAAAAGGCAAGTGTGGACGCTCCAGGGGAAAAAGCACAGGTGCTCTGATGGCTATTCTGTGAGTGGCCATCAGAGCTTTCTTGCGCAAAAGCATTCATGCAGTGTGGACACGCTCTTGCACGAAAGCACATCGCTTTTGCGATGCGCTTTGAGGGGTGGACATGCTCTTGCACAAGAAGTTTTTGCGCAAAAGCTCTTGCACAAAAGGCTTCTTGCGCAAGAAGCCGGCAGTGTAGACGTAGCCAGAGAGGATACGTACACAGAGGGTAGGAAGGAAAAGCAGATCCTGAGACACAGGGCTACTACATTCAGCAAAGTCTAAGCTTAGCGTCCTTTTTTTCTATAGCCAAGATAACTTTAGATGTTACAAGACCAGGGCATTTTGTATTACAGTGAAAGTTTTCCTGTTGCAGAATGTCTGTCCTTGAGAAGGCCTATAGACTCCTCAAAGATCCTAACAAGCTTTCTCCTATAGTATCCACAAGCCTACCTTTGAGAGTCTGCATAACAGAGGCAGCCATGATTACAACACTGAATTAGACCAGAGAGAGACATCACTCATTGAAATAAACATTCAGTCTGTCTGCTGAGAGTAGCGTTTTTTACATCTGGCCAGGTGCGGGCCATGATTAACAGATGAGGTTACAGCCAGAAATCGTTATCTGAGGAGATGGGGAGGCCAAAGCAGACCTGTTTACAACGCTGTGTAAAAACACCAGAAGGGTTGCGTGCTTCACAGACATACTATAAAAATCAGTCATATACTCAATGCAAGTGGTTATGGAGAGAGAAATTACTACCAGATGAATGGAGTCATGTATAGCAAATGGCCCATGGACTAATAAGAAGGAAATTTATAGTTCTATGAGCCAATTCAGAGTATACAGGAGACCATGATTTCGGACTCAGCATGTGCTTTAGGCACTGCACAGAAGAGTTTGGATAGCTTTTTACAGATTCAGATTGTTTAAACAAACAGTTCTGACCTCTTTAGTGGCAGGCTGTTTGGACAATGACTTAGGAGCTCACTCCTTATAGCCTTTCCCTGGGCAGAAGGGCCAGATAAGCAAAAAGGACTCTGAAAGCCACTTTTTCCAGCTGGAGGAGAATTCCCTCAGCACTGGCACGATGAGACAAAGCGCTGGCATTGGGAGCATGCCAGGCCTTTAAGGCAGGAGGCTGGTACCAAGGACATGGGTGCAGAATTATGGGGATTCTGAGCAGTGCTGTAGCCTACAAGGTAGTCCAAGGAGGCTGCCAGCATTGAGAGAGGATCCAAGGCTCTCTAAGTTCTGCTGAGGGGCCTTTATCTGGAACAACCCAGGATTGGGCAGGCACAAACAGTGGTTTAAAAAGTCACTTTAGCCCCCCAGTCCCGAGCTGCCTAGTCCCACTTAGAGCCATTATCTTTGACTGCATGGGGCCAGGATGTCTCCCTGCATATGGAAGCAGGCT